AAAAAAAAAAAAAAAAATTATTAAACATCATCACACGAATTAACCAACAGGGCCTCGAGGTTCATTTATTAAATTGTTGACCCAAAAGTTTCTTCATTTGCGGTGGAAGGAAGTAATAATGGTGAGAACAGCCATGGTTGTAAATCCTGCCAAAAGGGGAGTTGTTGCTAAAGTACCCCTGTCAAAGAATTTTTTGCTCTCGGTCCTTAACTCTTCGAATGTATCAATCCCTGATGTTTCAATAGTATCCACAAATCCATTTATGAAACGTTTGAGTTCAGAACTGACACCAAATCCCACACCAAGTCCACTTGCCAAGTAGAATGTTATCATCTGCAGCCAATTTCATTCAAAACTTTAATTAGTCGCTATTAATTAAGAACGACGCGCCCAACATGATGTGTAACAGCTCATTTTCTCCACCAATGTGGGACGTAAAATGAGTAAGACAGTGAATTATCAAATTTTTTAATTTGCCTACTTAATTTGCAGCGAGTTACTTAATTGTGTAATGAATTAAAATAGAGTTAGAAGAGGTTATAAAAGCAGACCTTATCTGCGTAGAAATCCAACATGCCCAGGAACCTTCCCTTAATAACCTTTTTTCCTGTGAAGGCATAATACATTGCGAAGGGCAGCTGAATCAATGAGTACAAAAATCCACCCATAGCGGCTGATACGACATACCTGTAATAGTAGAGAATGATTAACATGTTACTTCTTTTAAGTACAGCGACAACAGAGAGGGAGCTTAGTTTTCTCGATTTCATTCTCATAACTAGAATTCAAAATCTCTAACTCTTATAATCACACAACATCGATCCTTGGATGACAAAAAATATACTATTATCCAATTACAAAGAGCTAGTTTAATGTTTTAACACAGCGAAGTAAAATAAGTCTCACACTAGCTAGTATCAAATCACCTAAAAGATTACTACAAGTTATATCGTGCATAAAAGTGGAATTAATTGTATGATCTAAATATATATAAGATTGTTGGCCTGCTACAATAGATCAAAATATACTTAAGCAAACAAAACTTATACACTCTTAGTATATATAAGTTAACTCCCGACAAGAATCATACTACTCAAGAATATGTTTGTTACCCTACTCATGATTAATTGTGGTTAGAGCAAAAAGTAGAGACAAATGATGGGAGCAGAAGTTCACCTATAACCCCTAATGTCACTGTATTTTGTTTTTTCGCCACCACTAAGCGTGAAACTGTTGGTAATCATGAGCGGCACGGAAGCTGCGCACAACAACATTGAAAAGATTCTGAGAACAAGGATTGCTATTGCCCGTGGTGTTGTCATTCTTTTTTTCTTAATCTTTGAACAATTCTAAGATCTATAGCGATATGCACATTTGGAGTGGTTGTGAGAGCAGCCTTTTATACCGTTGGACTACAACTATACAAACATTAATCACTAGTATGTCTTTTTGTCTGAATTCGTGTTTTGTACGTGCTACCTACTGTCACTCTAGATGAAATTTCCTGATAGCTTAGATGCCAATTAGTTTCCCATAGCACAGAAAAGGGCGTGACGTCTTTATCCATTCCAATGAATATTAGAATATTTTGTTATGTTGAAGTACTCTATCTGATAATTAGTGAATAATGTGTGTATTTGATTCAAGTTAAAGCTTTAAGGAGATACTCCTATGCCTATTTAAGGAGATAAATGGCTTTAGTCCCCTCTTTCACTTGAATTAATAGTTTTTTTTTTAATTGCATATATAATTCTTCTATAATACAATTTCATTTCAACTATTTTACTCTAATCTATATGCTCCATTTTCATGTATTATAACATTTTTCTACTGCAGCATTAAAGCCAAGATAATTAGCTAGGGTAAACGAATATACGATTTATCGTGCAGATCCCTGTGTAAAAACCCACAAGTATTTGAGAAACTCTTTTATATCTTCTATTTTTCTGTTTTTACACTTGAGACAGCCTAGTTGTTTAATAAATATATCTTTATTCTTTAACACCTATCAAATGACTTTTCGTGGTACTCTGCCTACGCTTTTATAGTCAATGTATACAACCTTATGAAATTAAACATACTTAAGACCAAAAAGAAAAATGGAAAAGCATCCCTTTGCCTCATTCCTCATCATCCTTTAGATCCTTACTCGAAGCATATGTCAATGCAATAAAACGAAGCTGCCTGCTTTAGTGGTGGATCATATTAGAACAAACAAATTCTTTTCTGGTGTGTGACTTATGAATCCTTCTTTAGCGTCACTTTCTGTTGGTTGTTTGTTTCCTTCTAGAAACGCATCATCACCAGTGAAATCACGAAATTTCGATGCGGTATGCTAAAAAATGCTGTCAAATCCGACTAGATATTATCAAGAAATTAAACAACATAAAAGTCCGAAACTTGTCAAGCAATTTAACATAAAATCACGAATGGATGAATGATAACATCTCCATTCTATACTTGCTGGTGAAATTTCGTTTCCTTTTCGGTATTTGTCTTTCTTAAGAAATGGTCACTATCATGCTTGAGGGTTGATGGAGGCACGTGGAAACAAAGAAGGTCCCTATACAACTTTAATGAGGAGAGAACTAGTGTATCTTCATTAACATGAAAGCGTATGGCCGAAAATCATTTTGATTCTCCAACTTTGCCTTCGGGGCGGCCCGACGAATTTTGTGGCCTAAAACTAAACTTTATGGAGAGATTGACAAAGTTAGCCGCTCGACAAAAACTACAAACAATCACTAGCCCACAGTTGCACATTACAACTTGTAGCCAAAAACAAATAAATTATGTTGACCAGCATTCCTTTTTCCCGTTTTTACTATTTACAAGAGGTTAAATTCTCATAATACTTTTTTTTTTGTCTATAAATCCTCATAATACTCGGTTATGTTTCCAAAAAGGTAACTACTAACTATGTCTCAGTAAAAATGGAGATACGATAAATTTAACTACTTCAAATTAAATTTATTAAGTCAATTATCATAGAAACAATCTTACCATTTTTTCTCTTCTTTTTTTCCTTTTGAAAAGGATTCTGATCCAGAATCTATTCTAGTATTTATTAATCTATTATATTATGTCAATCTTGTCTTGTTGAAAATGGTTAATAAACAATGACATCTATTATATTGTAACGATCTGGCCGATCGTTTTGAGAATTTAAGTCATGTTCGGTGGCATAAGGTCTTGAGAAATTTTGTATTATGTGTATTGACTTGCGTGCGTGGTCGAGTTCAGTTATCGGATGATTCAGAGTCAAATCGGAAGAAGGATTCTAGTTTTGGAAGCTTAAGCGGTAAGAGTTGACCGAAATTTGACTTTTATATAAATGACTCCGGAATGGGTTTTGAATAATTTCAACAGTTTCGTATGGTGATTTGGGACTTAGGTGTGCATTCGGATTTGGATTTGGAGGTCCGTAGGGTGATTTGAAGCATTTCGGCGAAAATTGGAAAGAGTTGAAGTTGGAAAGTGGAGTGGTTTGACCAATAGTTGACTTTAACGATATCGGGGTCGGAATGCAATTCCGAGAGTGGGAACAACTATGTTATGTCATTTGGGACTTGCCTGCAAAATTTGACGTCATTCTCGGTTGATTTAATAGGTTTCGGCACGTGTTTTAGAAGTTGGAAGATTTGAAAGTTTATAAGTTTGATTCATGGTGCGATTCATAGTTTCGACGTTGTTTGATATAATTTGAGACATCAAGTGAGTCTGTGTTAGGTTATGGAACTTGTTTGTGTGTTTAGACGGGGTCCCGGGGGACTCGCGTGTGTTTTGGATGGGCCACAAGTCATTTCTTCCTATTTGAACTGTTGTTTTCTGTCATCTGATGTTCTTCTTCGCGATCGCGAAGTGCCTTTCACGTTCGCATAGTGTTCTGCTGTCCCGCCTAATATTTCCACTTTGTGTTTGCGAAAGTCTGCCTTTTTCCTTCTTCGTGTTTGCATCCTTCCTTCCGCGTTCGCGTAGTAGAAACAAGGCCCTGAGCGCTGGTGATCATTTACCCTTCGCGTTCGCGTGTCCTCTTCGCGTTCGCGTAGGTTCCTATCCTTTGTGTTGTGCGTTCGCATCCCTTCGTGAACACTGGCAGCCTTCATTTTTTTTCTTCGCAAACGTGAGCCTTTCTCCGCGTTCGCGATGCTTTCAGACCTGGGCAGAATATAAGTTTTCCAAATCGAGGGTTAGGCCATGTTTCATCATATTTTGACTTGTAGATCTCGGTTTTGAGCGATTCTTTGTGGGTTTTTCAAGCAAATTGATTGGGTAAGTGTTCTTCACCTAGAATTTAATATATTCCATGATTTTATCTTTATTTTTATCATTTAATTTATTTTTTGAGTTGAGAAAAATAGTGATTTTTTAAGAAAGTTTTCAAAATGAAAAATTATGATTTGAGGGATGAATTGGTATCAGAATTTGATAATTTTAGTATGGTTGAACTCGTATCGGAATGGGCGTTCGGGTTTTGTGAAATTTGTTGGGTTACGAGGTGCGGGCCCGGGGGTAGATATTTAGATTTTGATAAGGATTGAGCCTTTATGATCCGAAATAGTTTCTTATGAGTTTTATTTGTGCTTTAAAGTTATTTTGGTTAGATTTAAGCTGTCCGGAGGCCATTTCACCGAGAAGTTCATTTTTGAGTATCGGTCTGTCTTCTTTGAGGTAAGTATGTTGCCTAACTTCATGTGGGAGAACGACCCCTTAGGATTTGAGTCTTCTATGCTAATTGTAGTCCGTGTACGCGAGGTTTCTGCCGTGCGGTTGTTGTTATTGTGATGTACGAGGTTTCTGCCGTGCGAGTGTTATTGGGCTGCACGAGGTTTCTGTCATGCTATTATTACTATTGATATTTGCACATGTGACGTGACAAGGTGGGATATATATATGTGGATTGTACATGTGGCGAGACAAGGTGGGAACATTATTATGCATGTGTGGAGAGACAAGGCTGGCATTTACTTTATTATTGCACACGTGGCGAGACAAGGTGGGCTGTGTCAGGGATTGATTTGTGATTACTTGTGATAGCGTGGGGCATTCTTGTTGTTGATATTTGTGTAGTGGTATGAACTATGTTTGGACTCTTGCACAAACATACACGTAGTTAAGCACTCTTATCGGTTAAGAGATTTTCTTGATATTGTTGAGTATAGATGCACACCCTTGTTTACTTGCCTTCTATGTGCTAATGGCTCTATTTGGCACGTGAGTCGTCAGTGCGGTTATAAATTGTAATGAGGGCACAAGATGCTAAGTATTAGGGTTCAGGAATTGAGACCCGTGATTTGTGAATATTCTGAGGTTCGGTACCTCGTGGAGGTTATTGGCTAAAACCCGGTGTGAAAGCGGTCATTTTGTTAAGTTGTTATTTGCCTTTCATTTATTTGTGATCACCGGATTTAGATCATGTTTCCGTACATCTACTGTGTCATTATTATGGTATTCCGCTGATACTTGTTATTTTCCTTTCTTACTGAAATTACCGTATTATTTGCCATTTCGCGTAGTCCTTATGTAGATATCATACTGTGTTGTTCCTATACTTATACTTGTTCAGGTTATTTAGTCCAGTAGGTGTCTTGACTGTACCTCGTCACTACTCCATTGAGTTTAGTCTTGATACTTGCTGAATATTGTCATGGTGTACTCATACTGCACTTCTGCATATTTTTGTGCAGATCCAGGTATTTTTGAAGTCAGTTGATCATTAGCTAGCTGTGCGGATTGTTGCTGTGGAGACTCAAGGTAAACCTACTGCTGCGTTCGCAGGCTTCGGAGTCACCTTCTGATTTGTCACACTGTTTACTTTATTTCAAACAATTGTATTTAGAAATTTGTAACAAATTCTGTAGAGCTTATGAGTTGTACTACCGGTTTTGGGAATTATAAATTTTATAGAGATTTGCATTTCAAAAAATTATTAGATGTTATTTAATTATTGTTGTTATTTAGTAAATATTAGGCTTACCTAGTTCCTAAGGCTAGGTGTCATAACGATACCCAACGGAGGGAAAATTGGGTCGTGATAAGTTGGCATCAGAGCTTTAGGTTCATAGGTGCTACGAGTCATAAGCGAGTTTAGTAGAGTCTTACGGATCTATACGAAGACGTATGTACTTATCTTCGAGGGGCTACGGAACTATTAGGACAGTTTCACTTTCTTCATTCCTATCGTGCAAGTTTATTGATCTCGGAGTTTGAAGCTTTTATCATTTCGTTCTCTCACAGATGGTGAGGACACGAGTTGCAGTTACTGATGACGCTGCCCCCGGAGTAGATGTCGCTAGGGGCAGAGGCAGAGGCCAAAGAGGAGCACGCGTCGCAGCTAGAGCATCCACCATAGCAGCAGTTGAGGAGCC